TATCTTTCCTTTTCTCCTTTGCTTTTTGCTTCTCTTCTTTTCACAGCTATTTGTAAGGCCTCCTCAGACAGTCATTTTACTTTTTTGCATTTCTTTTTCTTGGGGATGGTCTTGCTGCCTGTCTCCTGCAGTGTCACAAACCTCCGTCCACAGTTCATCAGGCACTCTGTCTATCAGATCTAGTCCATTAAGTCTATTTCTCACTTCCACTGTATAGTCCTAAGGGATTTGATTTAGGTCATACCTGAACGGTCTAGTGGTTTTCCCTACTTTCTTCAATTTAAGTCTGAACTTGGCAATAAGGAGTTGATGATCTGAGCCACAGTCAGCTCCCAGTCTTGTTTTTGCTGACTATATACAGCTTTTCCATCTTTGGCTGCAAATCACTACACAATAATTACTGCTGGAATTACTACACAGTAATTTTAAACCATGTCCCATGATCATCTTCTGAAGACACCATCTAAGACATAGATGCAGAAAGTGGGAAGGGAGTTAAGAAGTGAGTGGCCTACAGTTGACTGAACCGTGAAGAATCACCACATGGGTATTAACTACTGTCCACCTTTCTGGGTGCTCACGGTGCTCAACATGCCTGTCACACAGCCCAGGGGCCACAGCCAGCAGCTGACGGGCAGGGAGCCCCACGCTGACTGCCCTCCGAGGCACAGAACTGAACGCAGGCCTGGCCATGCAGACTGAGAGCAGCCGAGAGGGGACACAGGGAGGACTGGCGGGTCCCCGGGGCTGCCCTCAGCCAAGTGACTGCAGACGACCTCCTGCAAAACCCAGCACCTGATGTTCCTGAGGCTGAGGAAGAGCAGGGGTGTGGGTCTGACTTTAAAAGCAGCGCATCCTTGAGGAATCATCAGGGAGGATTTGGCTTCCCCTCAGTCTGCGGAGCTCACGTGGCAGGACTTAACACTTCATTTTGGGGCCTTTATGCTTTTCCCACCTAAATTCCCAGAAGGAACCTCTCTGGCAGACAGTAAGACACTGAGGTGAACAAGCTAGTCATCTCTGCCAAACATCATGTGTGGCTGTGGCTAAGCAAGGACATTTCCTCAGAACCTGTCTTCTCTCCTTCAGCAAAGCCCAATCCTGCAGCCACCGCCAGAGGTTTCTGCACCAGTTCTGACTCACAGGATATCCTGACACAACCACGCTGGGCGCTCTGTCCCCAAACCCACCTCAGTTCAGTCGCTCAGTCGTGTCCGACTCTTTGCGACCCCATGGACCGCAGCATGCCAGGCCTCCCTGTCCATCACCAACTCCCGGAGCCTACTCAAACTCACGTCCATTGAGTCGGTGATGCCATCCAACCATCTCATCCTATGTCATCCCCTTCTCCTTCCACCTTCAATCTTTCCCAGCATCAGGGTCTTTTCAAAGGAGTCAGCTCTTTGCATCAAGTGGCCAAAGTACTGGAGTTTCAGCTTCAGCATCAGTCCTTCCAATGAATATTCAGGACTGCTTTCCTTTAGGATGGACTGCCTGGAACTCCTTGCTGTCCAAGAGACTCTCAAGAGTGTTCTCCAACAGCACAGTTCAAAAGTATCAATTCTTCAGCACTCAGCTTTCTTTACAGTCCAACTCTCATATCATACATGATTACTGGAAAAACCATAGATTTGACTTTGTTGGCAAAGTAATGTCTCTGCTTTTTAATATGCTGTCTAGGTTGGTCATAACTTTTCTTCCAAAGAGCAACCATCTTTTAATTTCATGGGCGCAGATACCATCTGCAATGATTCTGGAGCCCAGAAAAATAAAGTCTGACACTGCTTCCATTGTTTCCCCATCTACTTGCCATGAAGTGATGGGACGGAATGCCATGATCTTAGTTTTCTGAATGTTGAGCTTTAAGCCAACTTTTTCACTCTGCTCTTTCATTTTCATCAAGAGGCTCGTTAGTTCTTCACTTTCTGCCATAAGGGTGGTGTCATCTGCATATCTGAGGTTATTGATATTTCTCCCGGCAATCTTGATTCCAGCTTGTGCTTCTTCCAGCCCAGCGTTTCTCATGATGTACTCTGCATATAAGTTAAATAAGCAGGGTGACAATATACAGCCTTGACGTACTCCTTTTCCTATTTGGAACCAGTCTGTTGTTCCATGTCCAGTTCTAACTGTTGCTTCCTGACCTGCATACAGGTTTCTCAAGAGGCAGGTCAGGTGGTCTGGTATTCCCATCTCTTTCAGAATTTTCCACAGTTTATTGTGATCCACACAGTCAAAGGCTTTGGCATAGTCAATAAAGCAGAAATAGATGTTTTTTCTGGCACTCTCTTGCTTTTTCGATGATCCAGCGGATGTTGGCCATTTGATCTCTGGTTCCTCTGCCTTTTCTAAATCCAGCTTGAACATCTGGAAGTTCACAGTTCACGTACTATTGAAGCCTGGCTTGGAGGATTTTGAGCATCACTTTGCTAGTGTGTGAGATGAATGCAACTGTGTGGTAGTTTGAACATTCTATGTCAGGACAGTAGTTTTGTCCCACATGTCCCCTGAAAGGAAACCTTCCATCCACACACACCCAGGATTCTCAGCAGGGTATGGAAGGTGCACTTCTGGAATCCCTCAGGCCCAACCCTGATGACAACCCACCTGGTTTCCAAAGTTCCCTGGAAAGATGGGGCAGTCCCTGGCACACTCTGCCTGAGGCAGGCTACATTTAATAGGATTCAATGCAAAATCCTGTAACCAAGCTAAAAAAATTAACTGCATCTAGTATGGGATGTAAGAAATATGACTCAGCAAGAATATTAAAACAAGCAAAACACTAAACACTTGGAGATGGATGACTGCAGGCCTCAGATACCGTGACGGGCCTAAGCGAACATATGCTGACTCCCATCAGAAACCAAGGTGGTGACCATCTCAACCTTCCCTGGTCACATCACGGTGGGTTCTCTGGGATACCACACTTTCCAAGGTGTAAAGAGAATGGGGTGGTTGGCGTGTTAGTTTTCTAGGGCTGCCATAACAAAGAGCCACAGGGACGAGCACAGAGGACTCCAAGAGCTGCTCTTTGGCTGCAGAGCTGTGGCGGAATGATGATTACGATCTTTCCTGGGCAGAACCAAGATGAATACAAACAAACAGGTGGAAAACAGATCTGCTTGAATCACAGCCCTTACTGACACTCAGAGCTATTCAAACACTGAATGGGTGGCCTCAGACATGCTCCAGGACAAGTCAGCGGCTCCTTGGAAGGTCTCAGCTTCTCGTGCAGGAGGTGGATGTCAGTGTCAAAGGATGGTTCAGAACCACACCGATGCCAAGTTCAGAGGCCCCAATAAAGTGGACATAA